ATTTAAGAGGTTAGGTGGAGTACTTCAGATTGAATTACATAAGCAGACATATAAAATCTGGTATACTCCAAATCGAGTTGGACTCTTAACGAGCTGAGCCACCCATGTGCCCCTGGAAGTTAACCTTTTTATTTTTGATGTTCTGATGTTTTTATGTTTGAGGCTCAGTCAGTTAACCATCTGACTCTTGGGTTTCTGCTCAGGTCATGATCTCCCAGTTTGTGAGTTCACGCCCCATGCTGGGCTCTGCACTGACAGTATTGGAGCCTGCTTGGGATTTTCTTTCCCTTCTCTCTCTGCCCCTCCACTGCTCGCTCTGTCTCTCTCAAAATAAGGTTAAAAATATTTTTAAAAAATGAAGTGTCTTACTGATAAGTTGATTCTTTTACCATTTTAGTTTGTTCAGTGTGAGGCATGTCCTGCCAATCTGAAAACTTGTACTAATTTTTAGGTTCTTAGAACATTTCTTCAGTTACGTTTTTGATATTTTTCTGCCTCTTCTCCACTTGTTGCTGTTTCTGGAATTCTTATTAGTCATATGATGGATCTATTGGGTTAATTCTTCATGTTTTTCCAATTTTTCCATGTTTTTGTCTAAAAGCTTTAAGTTCTGGAATATTTCCTCAGTGAAATCATCTCATCATTCTATTACATTTTTGACTTCATCGATCATACGTTTAACAGGCTTTTATTATTATCAGAATGTTACTCTTTCAGAGTATGCTGTTCTCTAAAACAGTTTTTTTCTTGACTACCTCTTAGGAAGCTTAATATTATGAATTTTGATTCCTAAGCTGACTCTGAGTCTTCCTAGTTGTTTTCCTTAGTTTTATCATTCATGCTGCTGATTTTCTTCTTATTTCTGACGGTTTTTGATTCTTCATTCATTCTTAAGATTGGGGTTCGAGGTAGACATGAAGAAAATACTGGGGAGGGGAATCTGGAAGAATTCAAGTGCAGTACTTTTCCTAAAGAGCTTTTAAATTCTGTATTCAGCCCTCTTCTCATTTCCACCCTCTACTGTGCCAGACAACTCTAAGCCTAGCGTCTTTTCTGGACTGTCAGGCAGATCAACTCTCTGTGAAGCTTTAGTCACTGCAAATTCTGAGGAGTTGCCACTTTGATGAACTACCTCATTTGTCAACAGGCTTCCATATTGCTTGATCTTTCAGATATTTTTTGAAATACCTATTATGCTAATGGTAGCTCTCCGGATCACTTCAGTATTAGAAATTATTTCTCAGGGTGCCTGTGTGGCTTAGTAGGTTCATGTCTGACTCTTGGTTTTGGCTCAGGTCATGATCTCCCAGTTCATGAGTTCAAGCCATACATCAGGCTCTGTGCTCACAGCACAGAGCTTGCTTGGGATTCTCTCACTCACCCACTGCCCTTCCCGCTCTTGCTAACTCTGCCTGCCTCAAACAAATAAAATAAAACTTAAAAAAAATTATTTCTCAGCTATTGTTTTATTAAAGTTTCAGGAGGAAGACTAAACAAATACTAAGGCTTCTATCTTCTTAAACCACAAGTTCTATCTACTTTTGGTTCTGGCTCTGGATTTATTATTTTGATTACCATAGCAGCAAATACATTTTAATATCCTGTAGAGTGATTTTTCTATTACTATTCTTTTTCACCATTTTGTAACATTTTTATGCAATTTTTGAGATGATCCTTACAAGAACTTTTATTACATTTAAGAAAAAAATTGAGAATTTTCATTTTGATTATATTAAATTTACAGATAAATCTAGAGTATAATCAACACTTTTACAATAATGACTCATCCCATCCAGGAGAAAAGCTTCTGTATCAATTTATTCAAATCTCATATTTTTTAGTAAAATTTTGTGATTTTCTTCCTTCTGATCCTACAGATTTCAAGTTTATTGGTAGGAATTTCATAAGGCTATTATTAACTTGCAATTGTTTGTTGATTTTGTAAGTTTTTCTGAAAATCATCTACTTTATTGAATTCTTTTTTCAATTCTAAGTTTGATACTCTTGGATTTTTCCAGGTAAACATATTATCCACACTTAATGTTAATTTTATATATCACTTCTTTTTCTTGTTTATTATATCGATTAGAATTTCAAAGACAGTGTTGCTAACTATTTTAATGGTGTCTGTGGCAGAGTTGCTAATCCCCTAGCTTAGTTTAGTAATAGATGATCTGACCCCTAGTTTTATCAGGGTGCATGGTTTTTCACCTAGAGGTTTTTTTTCTCTTATAGCAAGGAATGGAATTGTCACTAATTCTCACTACTAGGCAGAAGTGATGATTAACTTTCCTGTCATTCTGTTAGTAGGATATCCTGTAGCAAACATTTAACATTTAAAAATCTACTTTCCCAAATTATTTGCCCACAAAACTCATTCTTCATGAAATGACCATAAACATCCCACAAAAATTCTAGTGTTTCAGGTACCATGTTTAAGAAACAATAGCCTTTGTCAAGTATGTTGCTCAGGTTAAAAATGTACCTTCTAGAGCTGATTAATATGTATTTTATTAGAAATGGATTCTGAATAGTTTCCCGTGCTTTTTGGAGGCAATCTCCTTAATGTAGCATTATGATGAATACAGATTTATATTTTGAACTATCTTTGCATTTTTTTTAATTAAAAAAAATTTTTTTAATGTTTTTATTTATTTTTGAGACAGAGAGAGACAGAGCATGAGCAGGGGAGGGGCAGAGAGAGAGGGAGACACAGAATCTGAAGCAGGCTCCGGGCTCTGAGCTGTCAGCACAGAGCCCGACGCGGGGCTCGAACTCACACACCGGGAGATCATGACCTGAGCTGAAGTCGGACGCTCAACCGACTGAGACACCCAGGCGCCCCTATCTTTGCATTTTAAGAATAAACTATTTGGTTATAGTGAAATGTTCCTTTAAGACAATACCAAATTGATTTTGCCAACATCTAAAATTTTTGCACATATGTTCATCAATGAACATCAAATATGAGCTAGGCACACACAATGGTGAGCACCACATACACTCTCACTGGGGGGCATACAGTGATTTTAAATGCTTTTGAGGATGCTATCGGTTGTGCTAGCTTCAACACTCAAACTTTTCATCGTGTTTTGAGTTTAAAGCACAATAATTAGCTCCTCATGAATTTTTAACTCACTCATAACTGAGTGGGCTGGATACCTTTTTATTTTGTGGCATAAATCTTTGGTGGCATCCTATCATTCAGTCCTATCTATACTTACTGACCTAATTCAGTTTTCTACCTTTTTAAAGTTATGTTTTCCTTGAAAAGTGACCATTTCATTTTGATATTTACTGGCAGCATGAAGATGTATCAAGTATTTTAATAATTTGTAAACCTCTCTTTTATTTTTAATTTTCTTAAAGCTCCATGCCCAATGTGGGGCTCGAACTCACCAACCCAAGATCAAGAGTCATATGCTCTACAGACTGAGCCAATCAGGCGCCCCAAAACTCCCTTTCAAAGTACCAAAAACCTTTTTAGTGGCAATATTCCCTTTCCATTTAGACTCAAAGGTGATTTATGAAAGTACTTTAAAAGGCTAAGTTTTCTACTTTTGTTTTTTGGGCAGCTATCCTTTAACTTTTAATTTTAATTTTTATTATTTTTTAAAAAGTTTATTGTATTATTTGAGAGAGGAAGAGAGAGAGAATCCCAAGCAGGCTCTATGCTGTAAGCTCAGAGCCCAACTCAAGGCTCCCTCCCACAAACCTTTAGATCATGATCCCAGTCCAAATCAAGAGTCCCACACTTAACCCGCTGAGCTACCGAGGGGCACCTAACCTTTAATTTTTAGAGTTATACTATCATACTAGTTTTACTTGTTCAAATTTAGCTTATCCTTCTAGGCCTAACATATATGTCAAATCCTTCAAGAAGACTTTCTTCTGCCCTATCCTCCTTTAAACACATATATATCTTTCATACATACGCCATGGTGTTTACATATCTTCCCCCTTCCCCTGCTCGACCCCCACATTCAAGCTATTTTACTTCTTTATGAAGTTTACAGTTTAGTTCAGTGCTTTGTGGGTTTTCACAGCAAGATTCCATTGAAGGCAACAAATATTTATTGAGCACCTATGCATCAGGCATTGTATTAGGCACTAGGAATAGGGTCAAATGAAAGATGAAATCCTGCACTTTAAGGAAGTCAGCCTTCCTTAGGAGGAGTGTCGAACAAGTAAACAAATTAATTACCCAAATGAGCTTCAAGAAGTTAGTTTTGAAGTGAAGATATATGATAATGTGTATAAGCAGCTTACAACCCTGGAAAATAAAGGACATTATCGAAAAATCAAGGAGAAAGAGAGCTAAGAGAAGGTGAAGTACAGCTTCACCGTAAGTAGCCTAATAATCCAACCCAATGATTACACAAAAATAACCCATAGCAACTGATTTAGAATCACTTGGCCAGTTTGTAAGGATAAAAGAATGCAGATTCATACCTACTAAAATCAGAATGGGAGAAAAGGATGTTTAAGCCTGTGTTTTAGAACCCCCACCCAAAGTTTTAGAACATGGCGAAGCCAAATTTGGCAGACCTCATTCCCCGGCTACTCCCTCCTTCTAGACTGAGGATAGCCCACAGCGTGCCTCTTCTCCCTTCCTTCCTTTCCCTCGGAGCTGTCCGTCTTGTCTCCGGACAAGAGGCACAGATTACAGGCCTCCTTGCGTGAGGCGAGGTCCAGCTACCAACCTCCCTCTAGCACGCAAATATCCAGACCCTCGCTCCGCAAAGGATTTGGGGAAACCGCAACAGGCCAATCTAAAGGGCGGGAGGAGGGGCAAGAGACCAAGAGGGAGGAGAGGTTTCTTTGATTGACGCGAGTTACACCCAATGAGAGAAGAGGACGAATGACGCTTCCGCCTCAAAGGGCAGGACATTAGCAATGTCAACCAATCCGGCTCAGAAGTGTCTACCTTGTGGGAGGTCCTTGAGGCCGCTGAGGTCGTTGGTGTCTGTTGAACGGCTCGTGGAAGTCGTGCTGCCTTGGGTAGGGCGTTAAGGTCGTTCTTGAGAGGAACGTCTCTGTCCGAAGAGAAAATGAGTTTAGCTCTGAGGTCGGTAATGAGGAGGCCGCAAAGCTCTCCACACCTCGCAGCGGGCCCCAGGGCGGGTGTGTGTGGAAGGGAGGCAGTTGGGGCCGAGGCGAGGAAGGGGATGCAGTTTGGGACGAGGGAGAGGAGTCTCGGCCAGCGTTCCCGGGCCCGGACCCCTCACTCTGGGGGCCGTGGTGTGTCGCAGGTGATGAGCCCCGTGCATTTCTGCTGAGGTAGACACGTCTATCAGTGCGTTGGGCTTTGCACCACCAAAAAGATGGGCTGTTTTCGTTGTGAGGAGGGAGTGAAATATCGCGATGTTTCTTCTCGCGGTTTTTCTGCGAGAAATCAGGCCATGGAGCATCCCTTCGTTCAGCTCCTCCTTCCTGGTCTACGGCCCCACCTCAGCTGCAGTGCCGTCATCATATTTAACTATAAAATTTGGGAATAACATTAACCCCCCACTGCTCTTCTGCTAGGGCCCTATATTAAGGTATAACCGGAGACCCATTTTAATGACTTTAATTGGTAATCTCTTAAGATTTTTCAAATTTTTTAGTTTCTTTACCTTTCCTTCACTTGCGACCTCTAACCCCCTGTCTGTTGCCCCCAGCCCCATGTAGACGTCAATACCTTAAAAATAGCTAGATACGCCTCTCTAAACTGGTGCCGCCTTTGGCTAGGAGATTCCTGTGGGAGCCTTGCGTGGGGTCAGTTGTAGGTCTGTTGTGGACTTGGCCTTTCAGAGAAAATGACCCCGGGAAATGTTCGAGCTGGTATAAACCGATTTTCCTCAGCTTTATTTATTGTACGTCTTCGGTCACTTTCTAATTCTCTCTTGCCTTTGTTGTAGATTTTAGAGAACAAAATACAGGCAAATAGATAACGTGTTTTACTGAAATCAACCCGAGTTTTACATTTTAAAGTTTTATGAGTTTGTTGGGTTTCAAAACTTGTTTTTATGCAGATGTTGCAGCGGCATTTGAAATTTTGGAACGCTAAGATCAGTATCTCTTAAGGAGGACATTTCTGGCTTTTAAAATAAAATTTCCTTTAAAAAAGTTGCCAGAGTTTATGAGAAACTAAATCTAAATTTACAAGTGAGATTTACAAAACCATAGACTCTTCACTTTATTGTAGAAAATTAGCACAAATACTCTTTTTTTTTTTTTTTTTTTTTTTTTTGGCGTTTTCATGGTTTGTTTAGACATATCAATGAAAGAAATTATAAATAAAGTGCCAAACTTACATGTAATCTAAATCACTTGTAACCTACCACGCTAAAATACTTTGTAAGTTAATTTTTGAATTTTAAACTTTTTTGGGTAGAAATTTAGGTAACTTATAAGTGATATCAGAAGTAAACCAAATACATAACGATCATCAGTTAGGAATTTTCCTTTGATTTTTTAACACTATGTTTAGAGCAATGTAAATAATGAATGCTTTGTTCTTTTATTGGCGATTTTTTGTCATAAAAACAATGTTTTTTATTCAAGTTCTGATTTTTTCCTCTGTAATATCAGTGAGAATAAACACAAAGCTAGAAGGAAAGAAAGTTAGGTCTTCATTTCTTTGAATAACTTGTAATACTTTTCACTTTTGGAAAGTGCAAATTTATAGCAGCTTAGACTATGGAATGAGCAAGGCTCATGTACGGAAGATTTCTGATTCTCCCACATAACTTCCTTTTTAGAAATTTAAAAAATTATTCAATCGGTTAATTTTTTTGTTGCATTTTAATCATCTAGGTGCATAGGAGAATAGAATTAAAGTAGGCTAAAAAGACTTTGTTTCTTTTCATTTCGTAGAAATGAGCTTGTGGTAGACAAAACAAAGAGGAAAAAAAGAAGAGAACTCTCTGAAGAACAGAAACAAGAAATTAAAGATGCTTTTGAACTATTTGACACAGACAAGGATGAAGCAATAGATTATCATGAATTAAAGGTAATAGTGTAATGTAAAATATATATTTTTCTGTTAAAATGATGTTCATTTTTGATAATTGGTTAAAATACATTTCTAAAGTATTTTAACTGACTGGTTTTGGAAATATGAAACCGTTTTAAATGTTCACAGTTAAATGCTATAAGAAAATTGAATAATACTCCTAACATCTTTTTAGAAATTCCTTTTCATATTGTAAAATGAATAGTGTTTTAAATATAAAAATAAATTTCTATGTAAGGCCTTATTTTTCATTCACATAATTAAAAGATTTCAAACTATAAGATTTAAACAGTGTTTACTGTATTCTTCTTCCCACTGTTTTTTGTTTGTTTGGTTTTTGGTGACTCATTCTTTTTTCACATTGTGAGAGTATTATTTCTCTTTTAATTTGAACATGGTAGTAGTATATTCTTTATGTACTTTCTCTGGTGCAGACAACATAAATGATGTCTGATGTTGATACGATGCTAATGGGGAAAAATGTTAATTTTAGGGCCTAGAATTATTTCTAAAGATGCAAGGGAAAATTGGTGTTTAGGGTAGTACAGATCTCACACTTAGCACAATGAGAAAGGCAACATTTTAATAGCTCTTTAGTTCTTTTTTTATTTTATTTATTTATTTTTTTACTTACCCAGCTTTGATCCATTCTTGCTTTATAATGTCTGTTCCATTTGTTGCCGTTGTTATTATTTTGGTTTGGGATCTTATTTCATACCTAGAGCTTCTAGTTAACTCTGTATAGTACCATTAGGTTCATCTTTCTAAAATTCTTTCCTCATTTTGTTCATTGTTCATAAAACTAGTGGCTCCTCGTTATAAACTGCATAAAGTTCACATTCCTTTAATTTTTATTGAATGCCCTCCACACTTTTACTACTAGCTCCTTTTCTCATTTGCTAACCACTTGCTTCCACCTGAGCTCTTCCTGTTCAGGTAAGATAAACTGCTCTCTTCACTGTCCTCAAACCTCTTTTTTATGGTATCTGTTTTAATACCAGTCATCCTTTTCTTATTGCCCTTCTACTTTATTTCATCCATACATCAGGGAACAAATGGAATCTCTCCAAGTAAGACTTCTTTAGTCAGTGTCATGTCTCTCTTCTTGTTAACAGTAACAGGATCTTGGATCTTTTCTTTAAACTCAGGGACCTGAACTACTTACTTAACAACTAATCGTGTAGATTCTTATGGTAACTCTTATTTTCATTCTTTTATCTCTTCTGTTGTATAAATTTTTAATATTTATGCTATGCCTTTTTTTTGCATTTTGGTTGTTAATCATTTGAGAGCAAATAACTTGTTAAAATGATCTGTATACTGGGTGCCTAGGTGGCTCAAGTCACTTAAGCGCCTGACTCTTGATTTTAGCTTAGGTCATAATCTCATAATTCCTGAGATTGAGCCCCACATCATGCTCTGTGCTGACAGTGTGGAGCCTGCTTGGGATTCTCTCTCTCAAGATAAACATTTAAAAAATAAGTAAAATGATCTGTACACTACGTCAGCCTATTGCATAGTGTATTTTATAAACACTTGATTGGTATGTCCTATAAAAGATATATAAATGAAAAAAATTGCCATTTAATTTCAGTAGTGAAGAAAAACTATCACTTTGTTTTTTTAGAGATATAAAACATGCAACAGAATTAAATGTTTCATTAATGTGTTTACCTCTCTTAAGTTCTGAAAACTTAAGAATTAGAAGTCACTTCTTTTGAAAGAGTGCTTGATAATTTGCTTTTCCCTTTTAATCCAAAAGGTGGCAATGAGAGCCTTGGGGTTTGATGTAAAAAAAGCTGACGTACTGAAGATTCTTAAAGATTATGACAGAGAAGCCACAGGGAAAATCACCTTTGAAGATTTTAATGAAGTTGGTGTGTATTTTAATAGTCTTTGTAATTAGCACTTGTTAGGAAATTATCTGGTTAATATTAGTATTTTTTTAATTCTCTGGGTTATGGAATTTTGTTATAGAACATTGTGGTATAATGTGGATCTCATATGGGGGCCGGGAGACACTCTTTTTACTTAATTTCAAAGAAAATATAAGATTTACAGCTTCCCTGTGGAATTTATCATTTTGTCTTTAGTTCTGAAGATTCTAAGGAACTATTGTGTAGCTTTTTGTGGGAGGATGTTTTTCTAAGTAATATGTGTTTATATTATATGATAAAGGATGATCAAAACATTATTTTCTTAGAGTAAAACAGAAAATTTGGTATCCTTTTGTATGGAAAATATTTCCTAAGACCATTCTGGTGTGTGATTTTTGTTGGCAGAGTGGGAGAAGAGAAAACCTGTAGCATTTGTTATCTTTGGCTCTAGACGAAGGGCATGCCTTCAGGTTGACAAAGCTTATGAAGGTCTACATACTCTGAGCGACTTGATCTTGGTGAATAAAGTCATCTGTTTAAAGTTGCAAGTGGAGAGAAGATTGTGGTAAAGGAGGCATTTGACAGACTTTAGCAGGAAAAATCATTGTAGAACAACCAACTAAGCATAATGTGTCATGAGCTTAATATGATTGAATTTTATACAGTTGATTTTCGTGAATTATTTACAGCATATATCAGGCTTTTTCGTATAGAAGATTCTGGAAGGCAAGGACTTTGTTATTATAATTTAAATACATTATGTAGAATATTATACGTAGAATGTATGTATATTCAGGTTTTTATTAAATAAATTTTCTAAACCATTGATAACCACTTTATATGGGTCATGATATATACATTTCATATGTTTTTAGAGATGTAAAAAATTTAGGAACAAATGCAGTTACACATACACACAAACTTTTTGTGTAAATATCCAGCAAGAAGCAATACACAAAGCAAAAAAAATGGCAGTTAGTACATATGGAAAAGATAGAGTCCTTTCATAAATCATTGTTTTTATTTTTTTAATCTGAAAACTCAAAATGAAAGTGAAGAGAGAAGTTAAAGGATGAGCTTAAAAGAGAAAGAAAGCACAACACAGAAGAACTTCAGTTTATACACTGAGAAATAACTGTTTAGAGAAGCAGGTTGTCCCTTTGGGAAGCATATTGCGTGTGGTTTTTTGGTTTTGTTTTGTTTTGTTTTTTCTAATTGGTAGATTTATTGAGAGGAGGAGAGCCATCTTTATTCTTTCAGTCTTTCAGTATTGAAGCTCTTGTATAGTTCATGATCTTAGTCCAAGTTCCAACTTAGATTATTTATAGACAGGTGTTAGGATATAGTGACAATGATACCATTAGGAAAGAGCTACAATTCAGGCACATTAGATACAATGTAGTGGTTTGGCATGGACAGTTTGAAACCAGATTGCTTGGGTTCACATCTTGGTTTTGCCACTTACTAGCTGTATAATTTGGTCATTTTACTTCTCTGTGTCTCAACTATAAATTGGGGCTATCTTGTGGGTTGTGAGGAATAAATAAGTTAATAAGTAAAGTGCTTAGCAAGGGGCCTAGCTACAGTAAGTACTATTAAGTATTTGTTAGTATTACTTTAAAAATTGTCTTTGTTTTATTGTGTTTTAGTGCCTCGTGATAATTGTACATGCATCACTGGAACATAAAAAGTATTGTATTCCATGTATTTATATTTTTCTGATTACCCTGTTTTCATAGTTGCAGGCTATTTAAAGCATTATATCATTGTCATTAATAATTTTATGTAGCACATGTCATCTTAAGTAAATACAGTTTTAAATTTGTGATCTTATTAGCAGTTGAAGCCAAAGTCCCATGCCATATTCACCTTTTCCTGACCGTCCATCTTTTCTGTGTTAATAACAGGGTATGAGGGTGGCTCAGTAGGTTAGGCCTCTGACTCTTGGTTTCGGCTCAGGTCATGATCTCACAGGTCCATGAGTTAGAGCCCCGCCTCTGGCTCTGCACTGACATGTGGAGCCTCCTTGGGATTCTTTGTCTCTCCCTCTCTCTACTCTTCCCCCCTCTCTCTCTGTCTCCCTCCTTCTGTCTCAAAATAAATAAATTAACTTAAAAAAAAAAAAAAGAGAGCATGATTACTGGGTTTCTTCCAGAATTAATGGCCATGGGTAAACTTCTCTCTGACTTTCAAAGATTAAACTTTTGACCTGCTTGAAAATACCATCAGTCAAATAAAAATTTATTACTGTTTAGAAATTGAAGTCAAGAGCTCTGTATTCTCTCCATTTGTGGATTATTTTTCAATAATAACTGACCACAGATGAAAGTATGTTTTATACTTTGGGACAGATAACTCCAAATCAGAACATTTGAGTCTTAGTTTTATGTATCATCTATTACTAGTGAAGGATACTGTTCCACAGATATTTCTGGATGAAGTCTGACACGTAACCAGAATCTTTGGGCACATTCCATTGCCTCTTTAGAATAGAGTATTGTATTACCATTTTGCTTTGCTTATTTAACAAATATTTGCTGATTTTTTTGGCATTAAGTACTGTGTTGGGTTGAGGGAGGGGAATTAATTAGAAGTTACCAAGAGGGTCTTTCAAGGAGCTTACCATTTAAATGTAAGTAATAATAAGCTGTGGTGTTCTGTGGTAAATTATAATTTTGTTTAAAGCAGGAGTTGGCAGAGAAAGTAGTTTAGACAGAGACCTTATGCCCCCACAAAGGCTAAAATATTTACTGTCTGTTTTTTGACAACAAAAAGAATTGTCAATTCCTGGCCTGGAACAATTGAAGAAGACCTTGCAGAGGGGATTTTTAATTTAGGCCTTTGGGAATGTGAATAGGATTTCATCCTAAGGAGAAGATTGTGGGATGCAGTAGAGAAAGACATTGGAGGCAGAGAAAACAGCAAGAACAGAGTGGTACTGGAAGTATAGTACGTTTGAAGTGGAAGATAGTATTGGGCCAAATAGGTAGTCTTGCATCACATATAGAGCTTGGACTTTAGTCAGCAGATGATCATTGTCAATTTCTGTGGAAGAGAAGGTATATTTTAGAAAGGTAACTCTGTTGAGAGTATTAAAGATGGGTTGAAGGGTAGAGAGACTGAAGACAGAAAATAATAGACTTTTTATGCTGAGGGTGGTGAGAATGAAGAGAGAGGCCCATTTAAGGGTAAAAAGGGTAGTATCCTTAGCACTGTAGTAATAAATCGCTGATTAGGTTAATCAGCTTAAAAAATGTTCAGACTTCAAATATGAGAGATTATTTGTTAATGATGCTGTTATCTTTTTTGAGATCCGGCATCAAAACAACCACCTATCTTGGTGATAGTGGGAGGAATTTGAATTCTGAAATGTTGAGTGTAAAATAACTTGTATTTTTGGATAGAAACCCCCAAAAGGCAGTGAGAAATATAGTTGAAGCTGTATTTCTAGCAGCACCTTTAATGATTTTTTAACTTTTAATGTGATGTTTTCTAATGTGCTATGTTCTTAAGTGATTTTTATAATGTGTAAGGTCTAACTATTTTTAGGAAGTATATTTATGGTAGTATAATTTGAAAATAAAGTTACATGGACAGCAATTTGTGAATTAGATTGAAGTCACCTAAGTGTATATTAGTTGATTTATTTTCTTTGGGAAAAAAATGTATTTCTTACAATTCTACTTTGTAGAATAGGAAGAGCATGAAGGCATGGAGGAGAGTCACCATAAAGATACCATGTTTTAGCTGTCCAGAATTATGGGTATTTATAATTCCTGAGAAAAGTTGTATTCTAAGGCAAAGTATTGATAAAAGATTATATATACACATAAGTCTGAAGTAACTAACACAATTAAAGCACTAGTGGGATAAGAATTTATACATCTTGGAGCCCCATCTGTTCCCCACATCACCCTGTTGCTTCTTTAAGTACATTAATACTTTCAGCAAGCTGCTTTTTTGGTTCACCTGTCATGTAAATTATTTAATTGGTGAAGAAAATTTCTTAACACTTTTTTTTTTCCTTGTCCTGCTTTTTTGTTGGGACTAAATTCAAAATAAGTTGAGTATGTGCCATAGAGTTAAGCATGGTATTTTATTTTGGTGTTATGGCTGTGTATATGCCAACTCCTTTTTGACTGAATATTTATGAGCTTGGGTGATTTGCATACTTATAGTAATATACTTCAATTAGTTACTTGAAACACTTTTTGGATACAATTAACGGGTAATAGAAAACTATTAAATGTATATGTAGATGATTTAACGTTAGCTTAAATAGGTACTTACTCTAAAGCTTACTTAACCAAATACAGTGATAGTACAGCAAAACAACAATAATTTTTTGTGGGCTTGAATTGTATTTTTCCTTTTGAGTGCATTAAACTTTCCATCTATAAGCATTTGCAAGTTTTTAATGATTCTGTCAACCTTACTAGAACTGAATTATTTTTAATGGCATGATGAAAGTCATAAATAATTTTTATTATAGTAGTAGACTAGCTTGTAGAATTACTTCAGAGATGTTTACTTAGATATTTTCAGATTTTTATCTAGTAACTGAAAAAATTTTATACCACAGATTGTTACTGTAATTTTTATTGTTGTGGCTATTGATTAATGACTGTGAATATTAAAAATAGTGTTTAAGTTTACTACATTATTCTATATTACTACCTTTAATCTATTAGAATATATTATTGCTGTTGAAGTCTGATATTCCTCACTTTTAATTGTAGTTTTTTGAGAGTTATTATCTTGGTGAACAAAATGGGCATGATTTTAGAGAGATCTTTCCAGACTTTCTTTTTTTGGGGGCAGAGGGGGAGAGGTGGTTCTTGCTACAGTCGTATTCAGTAACTACTTTTCATATTTTTGAAAACCAAGAGTTTCCTCAAATCATGAAGCTATCAGAATTTTCGTCTGTCTGAAATTGTATCTCTGTCAATGATGGCAGTGAATTTGTCAGGAATTTTTGGTCTTTATTACAGGGTTAAATTTAAGGAACCATAATGTGCTTAAGTTCAGCCATCAGACAGCTTTTATCTAAGTAGCTTTAATTGTTTTGTTGATATACCATCTCTATAGCTAAGTTACAAACTCGTAGACTTTTTTGTTTGGTGTTAGTGGAGCCTAGTACAATTCTTGATAATGGTAGACCTTAAATAAATATGGTATGTAGTCCTTTTTATTTTGCCTCTTTGTGTGATAGTTTTGCTTACTCTTATAATAGGATGAATTGTTGATAACATAAAGATTAAATTTTAAAACCCAGATTTGATTTTTATAATTTGAGTTTTACCTTTTGGGTTTTCGGGCTCTGATTTGGCATTTTATTATCAAACTAAATGTTGAAAGATTCACGACTTTAATTGTCATCTAGTACTTTTTGATTTCATGAATGCATTTGTGATTATTAAGTGTTTTAAATTTTTTTTTTAAATTTCTTTTTAACTGTAGTGACAGACTGGATATTGGAAAGAGATCCACATGAAGAAATATTAAAGGCATTTAAACTATTTGATGATGATGATTCAGGTAAAATAAGCTTGAGAAATTTGCGACGTGTTGCCAGAGAACTGGGTGAAAACATGAGTGATGAAGAACTTCGGGCTATGATAGAAGAATTTGATAAAGATGGTGATGGAGAAAGTAAGTTTTGAGTAAAACACATATTCTAGGTATTATTATTGATATATGCATATAGTAAATTTTTCTAAAATCAAATGATTTTCAAGACTCATTGCAAAGTATCTCTATTTGGTATAATTGTTGTTCACCCTATAGTGGGGTTTTTGCATAAACATTTCACATAATTCAATTTAGAATGAAGCAGACCTTTAAAACCAAATAAACTGGTTGTAATATCAAGTTCCACACTTCAGGAAGGTACTTTACTTTTTGAGCATCACCAAAATCTTTCCTTGAGGATCACCAAAATCCTTCTTGAACATCACCAAAATTTCAGCTACTTGGTAAAAAATGTCCACTTTTTAAAAAGTGTTTATTTTTTTAGAGAGAGAGTGAGTGACTGTGTTCATGTGTGTGAAAGTCGGGAGGGGCAGAGAGAGAGGAAGAGAGAATCCCAAGCAGGGTCTGCGCTGTCAGCACAGAACCCTCACGGGGCTCTGTCCCACAAACCATGAGATTATCATTGGTGCTGAAATCAAGAGTCAGACACTTAACCCACTAAGCCACCCAGGCACCCGTAAAACATCAGCCTTTAATGACTTCTTCCTTAACCTACATGCTCTTCTAAACTGTAACTAAGTTCTATTGTTTCTACTCTTTAAATGTTTTGAAACTGTTTTATGTCTTTGTTTACTGCTGCTGCCCTAGTTCTGGCCCTAATTTCTTTGTAGGAATGTTATTATAGCCCCATTCATTATTTCCTTGAATGCCTGCTGGATATGGTGCCTTATGTGCAATCTGGTGCTGCTACACAATGAGGAAGGCAGATGTGGTTTTTGCCCTCACTGACTCTACAGTCCCTTTACCCTCCTACTTGCCCTCTATGCCTATGAGCCTCTACCCTCTAATTTAGTTTCTTGATAACATTCTTTTCTTAAAATACAGGTTTGATGATGTCATTCCTCTCTTCAAACACCGAATGATTCTTCACTACCTACAGAGTAAATTTCAAAGCTCTTTAAGATAGATTCTGCCCTAACTATCCAGTTTTATTTCCTACTGAGCTCTTCAGTGTCCTGCTTTAACTTTCACCTCCCATACATACATGCCTTGACCAAATATATTCTACCCTGAAAACACTTTTTTATGCCATGCCATTCCTTAATCCTAGAATATTCTAATTGCCAGTTTCTGTCTGCTAAAATGTTAGTCTTTCTCTCTGATTCATTTTAAAGTTCCATTTTCTGAAGCCTCCTCTGGTGGTCTCTGTATGAGTTATGGAGACTGCCATTGAGGGTCCATAGCATTTAGAGGAACACGGTATTTTGACAGTTCTGTACAATGCCTTCTGTTAGTTATTTACATGTGTAACTCTCCAATATATTGTAAGTTCCTTAAGAGCAGTATGGAATCCTATAGGGTGAAAGGCCTGAGGCTTTGGAAACCTACAGATCTGGATTTGAATTGAATCTCTGCCACTTACATAGTTGCTCTGTAATGTGCAAGTTTTCAGTGTTTTCTGAGTCGTGGTTTCCCATTTATTAAAGTGAGAATGGTAATACCTTCCAGGTGGTTGTAAGTATTTAAAGGAAGATATTTGAAGGTGCCTATTACTAAATGGAAACTTGTTTGCCTTTTTTTGTATCTTTACTCATCTTTATATTCTCCTGCATTTTCTTGAACACAGTGAGTGCTCTGACGTTGGTTGATTTAAAGCCCTGACCCAGGAGTGTGTATTACAGTAGATACATGTTGATAGAGTATCACCTATACATACATACATAAATATGTACATAATACACACTTTACTTTGGCAATACTATCATGCTTTAATAAGGAGGTAAGACAGTAGCTATAAGTTCAGGTTTGTAGATTGTACTTTAGAGTTGTGTATTATACTTTCTCATATTTATGTAAATATTATTCGAGGAATATAAAACTTTTTTTTTTTTTTTTTTTTTTAATTTTTTTTTCAACGTTTATTTATTTTTTGGGGACAGAGAGAGACAGAGCATGAACAGGGGAGGGTCAGAGAGAGAGGGAGACACAGAATCGGAAACAGGCTCCAGGCTCTGAGCCATCAGCCCAGAGCCCGACGCGGGGCTCGAACTCACGGACCGCGAGATCGTGACCTGGCTGAAGTCGGCCGCTTAACCGACTGCGCCACCCAGGCGCCCCAAAACTTTTTTTTTAATACTAGTTCTTTGAAGGGTATTGATAGATTTTTATTTATTTATGTATTTATTTAAAATATAATTTATTGTCAAATTGGCTATCATACAGCGTGCACAGTGTGCTCTTGGTTTTCGGGGTAGATTCCCATGGCTCATTGCTTACACACAACACCCAGTGCACATCCCAACAAGTGTCCTCAGTGCCCATCACCCATTTTCCCCTCTCCCCCAACCACTCAGTAACCCTCAGTTCTCTGTATTTAAGAGTCTAACTATTTTTCAATGTTTATTTTTGAGAGAGAGAGAGAGAGAGGGGTGGGGGAGGGACAGAGAGAGAGGGAGACCCAGAATCTAAAGCAGGCCCCAGGCTATGAACTGTCAGCATAGAGCCCAACATGGGGCTCAAACTCAGGAACCGTGAGATCATGACCTGAGCCGAAGTTGGATGCTTAACGGACTCAGCCACCCAAGTGCCCCTGTTTATGTTTTAAAACAAAGATGGTTTTTAAAACAAAGATAGTATCCACTGCCTTCATATTTAAAAAATTTTTGTGTCTTACCAAGCTGTTGGCTGTTACCCTAAACTAATTTCAAAGCAGCTCTGTTTTATAAGGGTACTATCTTACGTAGCATAGAAAATCTTGGTATGTCTATTTCATAAATCGTCAGTAACGGCTACTACCTGTGTGAAAAGATTAGAGTTATTTTCTTTTCCTGTGTTACGCACATGCAAATTAGGTTTTGGTATTGGCTTAATTTGACATTAGAGGAAAATATTAATTATGAAGCTGCCTCTTAAATTTAAACAATGCGAAACTTTGCATAGAAAATGTGTCCCATTTCTTGCATGTCTTGTTAGTCCGCTCTGTTTGTTGCTTTTGAAACTCAAGAGTTCAAGCTGCATTGCTTGAAGATTTTAGTGCATACTTACTTAAAACATTACTTTGGTTCTCAATTCTAACTTTAAGTCACTGTATAACTGTTGCTTGGGCATCCTACTGTCATTTGTTTGAATGACTAACAGGCAAGTAACATTTTTTCTTTTTTTTTCTAAGAGATTGGTTACAAATATAATACAGTGGTACATAATCTTTTATTGTTAAGATTTGTTTTTTATGCAAGTGGAGGAAGGTGTTCTTAACATATTAAATTCATCTAATCTAGTATCCAGTCTGGGATTTGAATTTCTGGGGGGTGAGGGACTTCTGAAGTATTACATGGGGTCTAGGTGTATGCATCAAATATTGTCTTTGACCATATGTATAATAGTCTTGCACATGCATACATATACTACTGTTTTTTATTTATATCTATAAATGCTCTTGTAATTGATAAATACACTTTTTCAGAATTCATAGTAGCTATTTTATATTATCTGTTTCTCAAGCAAGATGTACTAAGTTTAACTATTATTGTGGCAAGTCCAGGAAATCATTGTTGAAAGACATTTTCATATTCAGAAACAATGAACTGTAATCCATTTTTAGTCTGGCTTTGGGATATTGCCTTAACTTACATGGGTCTCTGTAGCTGTACGAAAACCTGCCTATTTTGGAAAAAGTATGAGTGGCATTTTAGAAAAACTTGTTAATTTGATTAATTTGGATTCTTTTGGCTGCAGTTTTGTTTAAATATAACCTGTTTTCTTTGTATATATTAAATTAGTAAAGATCATAATACTTGCTGTCTTTTTTTGTAGACTCTGGTAATTCTTCTGTCTTTATGAATTTTTCATACTTTAGTATTTAGGAGCAGTGAAAATGAAATGTTTATTGTGTATTTAGAATAATAAATATGGTGAAGGAGTTAAAGGAAAAGAAGATATAATGCAAGATCTAAATAGAGCTGTGCTAATGATACAGAAAGAATGCTTTCCCAATTATCACTCCTAAGATCTGTAAAACACAGTAAATATTTTTGGAAAAATCAACATTTAAAAACCCAAAGTATGGGGCGCCTGGGTGGCGCAGTCGGTTAAGCGTCCGACTTCAGCCAGGTCACGATCTCGCGGTCCGTGAGTTCGAGCCCCGCGTCAGGCTCTGGGCTGATGGCTCGGAGCCTGGAGCCTGTTTCTCATTCTGTGTCTCCCTCTCTCTCTGCCCCTCCCCCGTTCATGCTCTGTCTCTCTCTGTCCCAAAAATAAATAAAACGTTGAAAAAAAATAAAAAAAAAAATAAAAAAAATAAAAACCCAAAGTGGACCATCTTTTAAATAATTATGATAAGTATTAACACTTATTTAGTAGTTAATACTTGTTAGATTCTGTGCTTGGCATTTACATTTTGTATTATGTCACTTAATTTTCATAATGGCTTTTGTGAAGTAAATATAGTATTATCTACATTAATGCATAGGATAGATGGATGCATCTATAAATGAAGAAACTAACGCTCCGAGAGATTTATAACCTATTTATGCTTTTATCCATAACACTGTGTTACCTCTTATGCTAAAAAAAATTAGGTTTCTATGTTTATGGAGTCTTAAAAATTACATGCTATTTTAGTATATAAAATATTCAATACTCAATATTCAATAAAATACTCAACTGTCACTTCAGATGCTAAAATTTGTCTAAATTTTGCTAAAATTTTCCTCTAAAGCCAGGTAGTCTCTAAGGTACTTCATCTACTTAATTTGTAGATAATTTATCTTTATTAGGTAATAAATTCTTTATTTAAAATACCTGTAATAAGATTAACCCAATGAAGTGATTGATTTATGAAAATTTTGTTTAAAGAGATAGTGTAGGAGGGGCGCCTGGGTGGCTCAGTCGGTTGAGTGTCCGACTTCTGCTCAGGTCATGATCTCACGGTTTGTGGGGTTTGTGAGTTCAAGCCCTGTGTTGGGCTCTGTGCTGACAGCTCAGAGCCTGTATGTAGCCTGCTTCGACTTCTGTGACTCCCTCTCTGTCTGTCCCTCCCTGCTCATGCTTGCTTGCTCTCTCTCTCTCTCTCAAAAATAAACATGAAAAATAAAGAGGCAGTGTAGGAGAAAAGTGTTATATTTGTTTGATTCAATAAATATTTTATCAGATGCCTATTTAAAGGTGGGCATTGTGCTAGATTTATTAGTATAGAAACTCGATATATGATTGATGGAGAAAGTTATGAAGCTATACGAAAGTCAAAGATCACTACTAGAATTTGTCAGATCATTGAAAATATTACAGGTTATGTGTTCTACTGTGTCATAATGTCTTGCAGATGTTTAGTATTGAAATGCATGGATTCATGGTTCATTACCAGCTTCTGGCCAACTTATTCTTCTTAACTTCTTAGAGCTTATTTTTGCACTGTTTTCTTTTTTTAACTATGTTGCTGAAGGTATTCTCATACCTTAGCTTTCTTTCCACTTCCTGTCAAACCAAATCCTATATATTATTTTAGAGCCCAAATCAAGAATTATTCTTGCCTAAGTTTTTCTCAGAAGTAATGATTTTTCCCATTGATGGAATTTTTTTCAACATAGATATGTGTATTATTTTAATAATAGATCATGTTTTGTCTTATACAGCAGTTCTCTGTTTCTGGTATGAAACATGACTTACATGATTATTAAAACTGGAACCAGTATATTTTTTTCATTCCTGATGTACATATTTCATCTCCTCAATATGTTTTAATTGGTTAATATTTTTCTAACTTTTCATTATGAATTTTCTCAAACATAGAGGGAAAAAATATTAGTTTAGTACAGTATGCACCTTTATACCTTCTACCCCTTCTACCTAGATTCAGCAATTAACATTTTACTGTATTTGCATTGTCCGTAGTGTGTATTTTTTTTCTGGATCATTTGAAAAATACGTCCTGAACTTGACCTCCCTCACATTTTAGCATGCATCTGCTAAGAATAAGGATATTGTTTTTCAAAATTATGATACCATTGTTACTCCTAAGAAAACTAAAAATAATTTTATATTACCTAATATCTTCTTCACTTAAATTTCAAGATACTGTAGATTAGGAACCCTGGTGTCTGTTTTGGTATATTACACAACTCTTAGGATGGTGTAGGCATTCACTAGGCAATTAAAAATGTTTGAGTCATTGGATTGTTTTCATATATTACATGTAGAAACAACCTAAAAAGATAATTTTGTAGTTCAGTATTTTCAGATGAAAAAATTAAGACACAGAACTGTTCTGTATCAGAGATATGACTGGAATTCAGATCTTTCTTTTCCTCATTGTTATTATTATTATCAAAATGATCACTCATAACCAGTGTTTTGTTAAGGTATGTGTTAAGTTTTGGACCCCATGAAATCACCTGTTTTACAAAGAGGGAGCATTCTTTTCTGAACATTTCTATTAGTAATTGTGTATATTTGTATATATTGGTTTTAAAAATTACATTTAATAAGATTATTACCTATTTATTTCTAGGTTGCCTTCTTAAATATGGTGCTTTATAAACTGTACGTTCTTCCTGAATTTTATTTATAGTTTTGGTAACATTTTCTCTTTATGAGTGATGGTTTCTGCATTTACATCTATATTTTATAGTTGCTGTATTATCTAGCTAATTAAGACTAAATTTGTATCCTTTAAAATTACTATTACTCTAGATGTTTTCAAATTTTTTTAAGTGGCTTTTAAATATATAAAAAATCAAGCAACAATTTGACTTTTTAAAAAATTCTATATTTTCTTCCTTTAGAATTCTAATGTACATGTATGATAGATTTAAACTTGTTTATGAAGGAAGGGATTGCTAAATGAACTCATAGAATAAAGATTATAATGAGGCTTTAACCATTTAAAAAATTTAAAATTTCAAGCTTTAAAACTATATTTGCTAGTGTATGTAAATGTTGTCATTATGATAGACTTTTTTGTAACTTAAATGTCTTTTCTGTCATTAATATTATATTCATATTGTTTATCACATTATGTATTTTTGTATTCATGAGGTTCTACTTAATAAACATGGTCAACTTCCTATCAAAGAAGTAAAAGCAAAATAATATGTCTTAATTTATTAACAATTTTGTATAATACAAAATTTAAAAATACTTAGTATAAAATAGTACAATTGTCCTGTGAAAAATTTGTATTTCTGACTTATATTTTCTTTCTTACTGCAGTAAATCAAGAGGAGTTCATTGCTATTATGACGGGTGACATTTAAAGAATTACAAGGATAAACACTAAGAATGTTGCAGTTACATCTCATTTTCTATTTTTGTGCTGGAGCCGTGTTAAAAAGAAACCCAACTTAGTTCTCTTTTTCCAAAAGGACCAAAAATAAGTGTCTTATGTATTCATATTTTACTACTGTTAATTTTCTTTGTATGAGCAGTATTGTTAGCACTCTAATAGTTTAGCTTTGTATTTATAATATAGCTTTTATATATATATATATATATAAAATTTAAAAAATTGAATCACGTGGTACACATTCTCTGAAAGTTTTTTATTCGGCATCAGTAGTCACTTTTGTTTTGATGTACACATTATGCAGACTTTCATTAATAAAGTTTTTATTTTAGTAGTACTTTAAAGTATGGTAAATTTTCTGTTTTATTTTGATTCCGAGTGTCTGTTAACGCTTAATAGTATGTTTCTTAAATCTTTTCTCTTTGAACTACTAGTTTCAGAAAAAAAATTGAAATACAAATAGCAACAGAATAGCACATTTTTCCATTACAGGTTTGACATTTTATATTTCAATACAGGATGATGACTCAATACACGCATAATTCCTTTTTTAAGAGTCATGTCTTGCAGTTTGGAAGGAAAAAGTGTGCATATAGACCCATTTATCCTCATGTATTACGTTCGATAGCACTTCTCGTGTCTTAACATAAGTTGTGACAGTTGAATCTGGATATTTCCTTAAACTAATTGAGTACAGTTTGAATCGTCTGATTTCTTGACAAAATGAAAGATTTAAATTTTGGAATTGTGATCTGTTAAGATAATTATCACTCAGTTAAACGTCACAATGATGAAAATAGAAAACTAAGCCACAGAAATATTTAAGATTATGTTTTACCTGTATAAAGGAACATTTTGTGATTCAGCAGGAAACAGTAGAGACAGACTTTCCAGGTATTGGTGGGCTCTTCTGCTTTGTAGAAATGTATGTTAGGGGGGAGACAAGTGGTAATGGGAGATAGGTTGTAGGGAATTGGTACCCATTCTGATCCTTCACTAATTATCTGGTTCCTGCTGGTAGGGACTCTCTGGAAGAAAGTTGTCTATTTCAGTGACCTTTCTTTACATTTCTTGCTTTAAATTTAAAGTACAGTAATAATTTGATTCACTTGAACTATTGTGAGCTTCCTAGAGTATTCCATAAAGAGTTACCCACTAGAAATTGAACAAACAAATCAGTACGGAATAATATAACAGTGGTGACACTTCAAATGGTTAACTAGAAAGTAAGATAATTGCTCACCATATTAAAATTTAATTTTGAATATGAAATCAATGCTCACAGTAGTAACAATATCCAGGGCAACAAATATTCTTTGAAATTAAAAAAAATTTTATCACCCTTATTGATGAATTGCCTTCTATGTCTTGATCACAAAATATGTTGATTTCCAGGAAATTAAAAAATAAAAGTGAAGAGTAAAACACAGATAAAAATAAATCTAGGCTTGCTTGTCTTCTGCCACTTTATTAGAACAAATAATCCAAGCTACTTTTTGTCATTTACTAAGATAACTCCTTTATTCTTAATATAAATACTTATTCTTTGGGATACCAGCAGTTTTGTTTCTTCCCTTCTTACTGTGGGTTGAGGGAAGAGTGCCCACCTTAGTTCGTCATGTTTGTGGAAGTTTTCTCCTGCAGAAGGGTGTGGATAATTTTTTCACTGTTAACAGTAACTATAGAGTTGAAAGGCCAATAAAATGGCTAGTAGAGGTAGGAATAAAAAGAAAAGAGTGAATTTGCTTTAAGAAAGAAGGAAGTGGAGGTAGATATTCATCTCATTTATCATATTTATTGTCATATTTCTCATGAAATGGCATTTTGTGATGTATAAAAATATTTGTTTTTGCTAAACTTGCCTGCTTAATTGCTGTTCTGGCCTTGATAGTTTGGGATTTGTCAGCTAAAGTCTTTTCCTTCATCTTTGTTACAAGCTAATGAGCCTATTCTCTAAAGTATGTGCCTATTAGCAACCCTTAGGTTAGAGTGGTGGTAAGTTTTTGAGATGTGGAGGAAATAAACATACTTGTTATGCACTTAATAAATGATGGGTACTGTGCTAGGCTTAGTGAATTCTTTGTTGCAGAAAATCCATACAGTACTTTTAATAGAAGACTTCATTTTTTTTAAAGTTTATTTATTTTGAGACAGTGAGTACGAGAAAGGCAGAGAGAGAATCCCAAGCAGTCTATGCTCACAGCATGGAACCCAGAGCCCGAAGTGGGACTTGAACTCATGAATGGTGGTATCATGACCTGAGCCAAAATCAAGAGGCAGGCACCTAACCAACTGAGCCCCTCAGGCACTCCTAATGGAAGACTTTAAAATTGAGTTGATGTCCCTGTGTTAATGGCCTTACATCAGCAAACACCACAATAAGTAGATTATCCAGTTGAGTGGCTAATGGCTTCAACTTCAAAAGCCATCTTTCTGATACTAGTCTCTGGAAATAAATTTTCTGGGGGATTTACTAGTGGTGTGTTCTTGAAAAAGATTACAATGTTTTGAACACCAGTGTGAGGAAGGCAAAAGAATTTTTTAAAAATCACTTAGAAATTACATAAGTAATGCATAAAGATGTTATATAAAATAAAGGATAAAAAATTTTTTTTTAACTCCTATCCCCACCCCTCTGAATAATATCATTGTCAGATTTCAGACAGGAGGAACAGTACAACTAGATGTTTTAATAGTGTAGTAAGAGGAATAGGTTAATTTGATACTGGAGAACAAAAAACTCAGAAAGGGAACACTGACATAGATAACTATAGGAAGCAAGTACCATGTCGAGCTGAGGGAATGGAAGATAGAGGTTGAGATTGCCAGAAACTAGAAGCTTGGAGGAAAGGTTCTATAGAGCAGGGACTTGGGGACATTTGAGGAAAGGGTATTGTCAGTATTGGGTAATGATGAGAAGAAGCTGGAGGCTGGAACCAAGTGCTGCCACTGGAATGATGAATTTTTGCCCTGGACATGCGGATAGGAACAATAAGCAAACAGGAAACAGCAGGATTCTTTCCCCTGCTGCCTTTCTTTTTCACTCTTCTAGTCCTCCCTAGTGAAGACCAAGAAAAATTCAGCTAGCAAAGGAGAAATGTTTACAGAGGTCCAACCCCTGTATTTTGTAGTTAAGTATAGAATTGTGGTTTGGAGCTATGGAGAAAAGATAGCTTAATAACCAGCACAATTGGCCGTATATATTTTTTATCATTGGAACTAGGTTATTAGTGTAGGGGGTTGAGGGAGACTGTCATTTATGTTTGGTACAAAAGGTGTTCAAAACTGGCTTAGGCAAAGTCTGAGATCTGGATACTTGATCTCTGAGGATAGTTACCATTGTTAATTTAGAGAAGATTATGTGTTTTCCTTTACACTTAGAAGAAACTATAGACATAAAAATTTTTTTTTCACATGAATATTGTATGTATGCTGTGTAGCTAAGTTTTATAAAGGAAATGTCTTTTTAAAAATTTAGTAACATTAAGTGCTGCTGTGTTCCAGACACACATAGGTATGTACATATATTATAAATTTTAATCTTAATAAACTTCTGGGATAGATACTATTAGATTGACTTTATTCTACACACAAGAAAGCCAAAAGCTTACAGGGTTTAAGTTATTTGTTCCAGGTAACAGAAATTGGAATTAGAATTTGGTCCTAAGCTTTTTCTGACTCCAGGTCTATTCAGAACCACTAGATTATACTTTCTTCTTACAGTAACTTTTATGGAGTATCTCAAGGTATAAAGGATCACACTTTAAAAAATATAAAACTAAAAGAATCTGGAATTCAGAAGCTCAGTAGCAAAAGCATTGATTAAACATGTATGCTTAATCTAGCATGGCATTCATTTTATTATGTGTTATTCCTTGGGAGTTAGTGTTTGGTGCCATACCTCTAGAAGCTAATAATCTTAGTTGATAGCTATAGGGCAGCGCATTGAAAAACTAGATGTTTGGGAAAGAAACATATTAATCGAAAATACAATATTAAGCAAATACTTATTGAGAAAGTACATGTTGAGTAGTGAAGACTCAAAGCATTGTCATTTTGAGAGTGGCGCCTGGGTGGCTTATTCCATTAAGTGTCCAACCTCAGGTCATGATCTCATGATTCATAGGTTTGACCCCCTGTGTCAGGCTCTTTGCTGACAGCTCAGAGCCTGGAGACTGCTTTGGTGTCTGCCTCCCTCTCTCTCTGCACCTCTCCCACGCGTGCTCGGTCTCTCTCTCTCCCTGAAAAATAAATATTAAAAAAAATTTGTTTTTAAAAACATTGTCAATTTGAGAGTAAAATTTAGAACATTTTTTTCCAATTTGCCTTTGTGGAAAAGATTGGGGGAGGGAGAATTGCTTGAATGAAGAAAGAACTCTTAAATTCTTATTAGGGAAAGGAAGGAAGCTTGGGTTTAGGAGTTCGGTTGGTAAGAGTATGTGTGGGAGGGTCTTTGAGACATCAAGCTGGAGAGGAGGAGGGTTTATGGATTGGACATGATACTCTAAAGCAAAGCTCTTCTAGGTCTCAGTGGAGGTGCATGTGTTAGAGAAGGGGTCAGTAAAGGTCATTTTAATAGCAGAATGGTGAATTGTTCAGGATTTGGGTTGCAAGCAGGAATTCTTGGAATGCAGCATGGCAGTCATGTGGATGACAGTTTAGTTAGGTCTTGGAGATCGTGGTTAATTAAGCAGGCTAGGTTCACCCATATCCAGTTGAAATAGATCATTTGTTTACATTTCCTGATTCTGTGTTCAGTATCTGTTGTCCTATAGTTAAAGCATTCATTGAAAGCTTCATCTAAGACTGAAAGTTTGCCAAGTTAAATATAAAACTAGTGAAATCAAATCTTTTATCTGAGATAATATATTTACATTCGAGTTACCTCTGTGAGGTGTGCTCTATTAAGTAAATTATTAATAATATTATCTGCCTACAAAAACCCAAATTGTCCTTTTCTTCAGAACCCTG